AAAATATCGAAGCGCGTAACGGAAACCATAGTAATGTAAAGAAAATTTATACTTATTGTTAGAATCTCTATAAAATATCTGATAATTTTATGTGCATATATCCATTTTTTTTTACTTTTTTTACTAGATCTCCAAAATTCATGAAAATTTGATCAGTTCTTTATCTTGTTAATACAAGTAAAATGTTTTTTGACTTATTCTAATCAGCACTCCGTTTTCTTAAAAGCTGAGTTACCGTTTTTGGCATTTTTTGCCCCATATCTTCGGAACGGATAAACCTGCCTTCGCCAAAAACAAAATCAGCACGTCTCCTTATCAATACGAATTAAATTATTCAAATCACTTCATTCGTGTTCCCGAAATCGTCGACAAAAGTTTGTATCTGCACACACACATAAACGCATACATACACACACATATACACACACACATACATCCATTTTTTCTAAGGTAAGGTATTTTCATTTTCGATTTTTTTGCGATTACTATAACTTGCCCTACGGGAAGTTAATAATATAAAAAGCGATATTAATTATGCAACTTCTCTCGCTTTGGAAAGGAAGCACTTGATTTTTCAAAAACCTGTCAACCTACGGGGCATAGCTTTAGGTTAATATCATGAATCACTTTATAATTAATATGCTAGTAAGCTGAATGTTATAAAATAAATAGTGACTAAGTGACTTACCGTTACGCCGCACCATTCGCATCGATACCCGGTCAGGCATTCAGAATTCCCACATGTTTTCCTTGCAAGCCGCCATTTAGAGTTCGGCGGCAGATTGCCCTCCCGCCAGTGGTGCTGGTGCTTAACAGCAGACGCTCCTTGCCAGGCAGGTAAGTTGCGTTCTCTCTTGCAATCCGCCACGGCGAAGTCCAAACATTCCGTGTGCACGTAGTATTCACAAACTGAACATTCAAATTATCATGGTAATAAATAGGAAACATAAGTTTTTATTTGAACAAATAATTCATTTTAAACTCACTCATGCAATGTGGGTGGAGTGTTTCTCGATTCTTTTCGGCAAACTGTGCAGTAATATTTTTTGCGATGTTGCATCGGCTCCGACCAGCAATGTGCGACCGGATTCTGTAAACAAAAAATAAATAAATTAAAAACTAGTTCCTTGGAACTCGAATACATTGCCAACAATAGTTTTTTTTTTATTTTTTTTAACAGCAATCAGAACCTTACGTCCTATGAGCTGTTGGGCTAAAACTTCTCTCTCACTTCGTATTTTCAGATGGTAACCCAAGGTTAATCCGTCCATATTTGATGTTTTTGTTATTGAATTAACTAATGAGGCTGACTTTTTATTGGTGCAGCAATGCTGGGCAAGGGCTATTTTCACTTGGAAACATATTGCGATCTATATTTCCAAGTGAAAATCATTGTCACTGCTGCCTGACAACAGGCTGCTCGAAGTGGGTATCGAACCCGGGACCTCTGAACAAGTCCCGTCGCTCTTAACCGCTTACCTACGGGCGAGCCCGCCAACAATAGTTGCGAGCAGTATTTATATTTAAGTATTGTAATTTTGATGGTAAGCTTTTCTCATATAGATTATTAGATTAGATTTTGAATATTATGACAAGATTTTTATTATATCAAAAGAAAAATTAGCATACTGATTTATTGCGTACATGCTCATATCATCGTTAGTGATAGGCTTTCAATGCCTTCGTCCTAAGGGAAGCAAGGCGTTTACGTAAACTGAATCACCCCTGCTAGCATCGCATTGAATAGGACATGATTATGCAATTAAAATTCAAATGAACATATTCATTTCCAAATCTGGCCTGCTATATTATGATATTATGAAAAAACTCAAACCATAAATACCCAGTCTTGTATATCATAATTTGTAGATTTTTTAGCTTTAACTTGTTCGTAAAATAGATAAAATATTGCATTTGTACGATTAAACCAATCCTGGCAAAATCTGATATTTGAAACTATATTTAGAGAGAATTAGAAGAATAAAAATAATCATATTCGATTTAGATGGCATAGTGCTTCAAGCTAATAAATGATATTTTTTTGCTTGTAAAGAAAGTGCAACCCAAGCCAAAAACCAGTTTAATAATCATAAAAAATAATGAGTAATGCATCCTAATACATTCATTATAAAATAAATATTCAAAAATGATATATTATAAATACAAATATTTAAAAAAGTAAAAATATTATTCAATTCTTCATGCTTTTTTTCTTTAATCTTAAAAAAACGTTTGATAAAATTTAATTCAGTATTACATTTGATATATTATTACTTTGTATAAAAAA